TCAGACTGCGTTCAAACAAGAAGAAGCAACCGGTCGAGCGTCTCGAACATTTGCAGCGAAAAATACGACCGAACATTCTTAGCGTGTATCGTACTGATTTACTGGAATCAACGATGAACGATGAGATAACTTGAGTATTTTGCATCGTACACGGAAAAGAATTCACAAGACTTTAGATGGAATACACCTCACCGACGAGAAACAAAACCAAGGAAACTTGCCTTCGTTCACTATGGAAGAACGAAATCGCATCCGCAGCCTCGATAATCCGCTGGATCGTGTCCCGGTATCGAACTCGAGGAATTTTCATAACGAGCAGCAACAGTAGCAGCAGCAGCAGCAGCATCGAGTCTCGGTCGGCTGGAAGAAAAAAGGCGCCTTTAATGGGACACGTTGGCGCCCGGGTCAGGGTGGCCCCGTTGTTACTCGTTAATTCGAGCTGCGACCGAGAGCACGCACACCAGCGATCCAGGGGCCGGATCCAGCTATTCCCGCGTGAATCCGTGGAAAGCGCAAACGAGCGTGATCCCGAGGTATGCGTTCCTTGCCGAGGGATCGACGGAGAACTCCACCCTTTTGTCCTTCTCTCTCCACGTTGGTACTGTGCCAAACCGGGCAGAAAAGTAGGAATAAAAACGCGAGACAATACGATGTCGCAGCGGCGCGGTCGTTGTCGGTTCCCACCTCGAGGTCCGGCTTGGAGAACGCAGCCGATTGTCAATTAGAGAAACCACGAGGGCTCGGTTTTAGCATAAGCCACCGGCCAAAAGGGGCCAGGATAAACGGGCTATAGGCGCACGCATCGCAAGCGCGTTTCTTTCCTTCACTTTCTTCTCCTCTTCTGCGAGGCGAGGTTCCAGTGCATCGACAGAAAGGGACAAAGATACACGGAGAATCGAAAGGAGAGGAGGATGCTGCTCATCGGTGGTGACTAGGCCGAGAGCGTGCGAGCGAAACAAGGTAGAAAGAATTTAAGAGAGGGGCTCTGTTGGTGTTAGGGAAGCCAATAAATTATGCCTAACACGGCAACAACTGGTTGATTATTTATTTAACAATAAAAGCAGTCACGAACTCGATTCGAAGTCGAACGAGAGCCTGACACGCTTACCTCGTGGCGTGTCAAACGCGGATTTAACTTTACCGAGCGAATTTAACTTTTATGGTCGATTTAATCGAAGGTCTTAACACATACGAAACTGATAATACAGCCGTTGCGTCATTTAATATTTCTGTTAAATAGCCAAAAATGTTTATTTCTCTGTTTTCGGATTGCAATTGGAAAAGTCATTGTATTAGTCTCTAAAGCATTGTACAATTAAATAAATATATAAATATGACGATACATAAGTCCATTGTAGTATAAGTAGGCTGTTGAAAATAGTGGCGTATATCAATTATGTAACAAAAATCATTTGGTATAACTGAATTTGGTATGATGATGACGTTCATAAATATTCATTTTTAACAAAAGTCGTGTTAAATTTTATATATAAATATATTGTCGATCATTGAGTATAGTTTTTTGAAACTTTGTCGATCTCGAAATATTAATCCTTATTATCGTGCAATTTTTATATCATATATAGTATTATATAAAATCGCCAAAAAACATTGTTGTAAAAACAGAATGTGTAAAAATCTCGGTAAAACATGGACCACTGTATTAGAATATGTGGACATAATTTGATTCGTGTGAATTCAGCACACTAAGATAAGAAAAAAAGTTTATATATTCCGAAATAGCCTTGTCTTTGAGATAAATAATAATAAATTGATACAATTTTTTTATATAATATCAATTACTTATCTGTTTGCTCGAAGTGATCACTTTCAGCTCGAATATGAGTTTTTAGGTGCCTTGTCATCGAAATTCTGATCCAAATTGTCTGGTTCGGATTTGTTGACAATCGTCAATAATACGTTTATAACAAGTGTTTATAAACAATTAAATGAAAAACATAGTTTATCAAAATTTATCAAAAGAATTATTAAATTAATATATAAGAAATAATTTGATTTTGAAACAAAATTATATTGTACATATGTTTATATGTTTTTTTCTTATTTCAGTGCATTGAATCCACCAGTGGAATTATGTCTACATATCCTAATA